GAGGTAGTGTGAGGGGTTAAAAGGAAGCGAGGGAGGTTGGGGGAGGGAACGAAAAGCCTCCTTTTTTTTTTGTTGGAGTCTACCCCAACTAACCCTACGATGTTTTCTTTTTTTCGTCGAATGGATTTTGCTTGTTTAAAAAAAAAAACTGGAAAGAGAGAGAGAGAGACAGAGAGAGGGAAGAGGGGAAGAGAGGGAGGGAGAGGAGAGAGAAAGAAAAAAAAAATTTAAATTTAGAGTGTTGCGAATTCCCACAGGATGTGGTGGGAAACCTCTCTTCCGTTTTTTTTTTTTTTTGCGGTTAAAATTTTTTTCTTTATAATTAAAGCCGCCGAGTGATAATTTAATTTTTATCAGCGTACGAACTATGCACGCCGCCGCTCCTGCTGCTGCCACGACGACACGCACAAAAAAAATTTTTTTTTTTTTTATTCTTTGGACGTTTTCCAAAACGCAAAAAAAACCCATCGTCAGGTAACATCTCTCGACAATCTTAAAAAAAAATGATGATGATGATGATGGTTGTTGCGTTTGCGTTTGTTTAAATATGCCACACCCGGATTTTTTGTTTTTTCTCCTTCCAAATTATCATCTTCTCCAGATATAAAAAAATTTTCTTAACTGGAAAGGAGTCATTATCATCCAACATGGATGGCGCCGATTTTCATCAAGGTCAGTGTTTGTGTAAGTGCGTGACCCGACAAAAAAAATTATAATTAAAATAAAATTTCGACGTTGGAAAATTTAAGGAAAAGCAAATTATGGAAATTTAAAATTTTCTCCGGCAGCAGCAGCAACAACAAAAACAACAACAAAAAATTTTACGCTCGATCAAATTATTAAAATTTAACAACAACAACAAAAATTTACAAAATATTACGTAATAATAATAATAATAAAGATACGTTCGTTTGTTCGTTCGTTTCGATTCTAATTCCACGATATATTCTAACTTTTTTTTTTTCGAAATTTTCATTTCCACAATTTAATTTAAACCAAATTTAAAAAATTCTCTTTTTTGAGTTAACTGGAATGCACCCGTTTCCGTAATTAATTAATTTTTTTTATTTATCGAAAATCCATTCCAGAATTCTCCAGAGTTTCTTATATATTCCAACTATTAATTCCATCGAATCGACACCTGGTATCCATTTTAGTTTTTTTTTTTTTTTTTTACTTTAATTATTTTCATTTTGTGAAAGTTTAAATAAAATTACCTATTATCATCATCATTATTATTATTATTATTATTAACGTCGTTTTTTATTTGATAAATTTTTCCAGGCAATTATTATGGGCTTTCACGTCACCTGGAAATCATTTTTAAAAATATTTGTAAAACATTTTGAAAATTTTCTTCTCTTTTCCGCAATCTCGTCATTTAATAAATTGTAGTTTAATTATTATTATTATTATTATCACTTTCGTGTGTTTGTAGAAATTTGGCAACGTTCCTTCCACGTCTCTACCCGGCGGTTGTGGTGTTACGCGATTTCCTGGATGGTTTCTTCTTTAAATTTCCATTTATTGAATGTGGCATGGCTCCCAGTGCTGCTACCACGATGACCGGAATAGTTTCTGTCTTTACTACCCACATCCTGGCTATGTCAGCCTTTGGCCGCTTCTTTGGCTGTCTGATGTTTTTTTTCCGTCGGCACAGATACTTCAGCAGGATGATATCCGGTTTGTTGGCTGACACAGTTCTGTCAGTGTGCATGGATCTGCTGTCGTGACCGAGCTTGGAATGTGGTTGTACCACTCCTTGGGTAATCCATCCATTCCATATTCATGACAGATATTCCAGTGAAGAGATTGACATATTTTATTGTGCCTCTCCAGATATTCATGTTTTGCCAATAACAGACAACCGGAAATTAAATAATCGATTGTTTCCGGCTTCGATTGACAAATTCGACACTTGTCGCCTTGACGGACCTTTAGAATTCCCTTTTCATAGTTCTCAAGGCTTTGTCCTGAGCAGTTGTGACGATCGCTTCTGTTTCCACCTTCAATTTTCCACGTCTTAATCAGTTTTCCGTGCTTTTCTTATTAACGCCTGAAGCGTTCACTCTTTTCAAATACTGTCCGTGTAGCTTTTTCTGTTCCCATTTGCCCTTTAGCTTCTTCTGGGATTGAGCTTTGCTGTCGTAAGTTGCAAGCTGCCTTTCCTCCAATTCGTTTCCTTTGTTTCCTCTGCTACTTGCCGCGCACTTTTGAGAACTCCTCCTTTTGTGATGTTTTCCTCCACTACCACTACTTGGGCTATGATGGCATTCTGACCGCTTCTATTTGGCGTAGTCCTCTAGTCAGCTTTTAGATGCAACGAACCATTCATCATTAGTATCTGTATTATTATTATTATCATTTGTAAACATTATTGAATCGATTTTTCGAATTCTCACGCGAAATTGTAGAAAAAAAAAAAAAACGATAATTAATTTGAGGTTTGTATCGTCTTCCGCATATTTTAAAACGTATTTTGTTTACACATGTAATAATAATAATAATAATAATAATAATGATGATGATTATAAAACCTACAATTGGAAAAAACAAAAAGAAAAAAAACAAGTTTCGGATGAAACAAAAATAAAAAAAAAAGGTCGTGGGAAATAACCTTAGTCGAGGTGGCGGTGGCGGCGGTGGTCGAATTTTAATCAATGATTATGATGATGATGATAGGGTAAAGTTTTTTTTTTCAGGTACAAAGCATATAAGAAAAGAAAATGGCGAAAGGGTAAAAAAAAAGACTCGACGTCCTCGACAATGACTGAAAAAAAAAAATTATTTAATACGGTTAAAATTTTTTTTTTAAAATTACCCGGTTCCTTTGACGATGGTAACGCCCTCATTCTCAAACTCGTTTTTATACCTTCGAGGTGTTAATCCAGAATCATCCAGAAAATTGACACTCGAGGTTTTCCCTCCTCCCTCCCCTCCCCCGCACCTTTTTACCGTCCTTGACATTTTTTAATTTTCACATTCAAAAAAGAAAGTTGACCCCGAATTATTATTTTAAAAAACCTGAAATTTACCGGAAATAGATTTTTTTTTTTTTTTTAATTACACGTAATAACGAGATTTTTTTTTTTTAATTAAAGTGGCAGAAGACAAACACTCTCGTGCAAATAATTTACGCGGGAAAAAAAAATTCATTTAAAAAAGAAAAATTTAATTAAATATTAAAATGTTTGCCTTTGTATAATTTGTACTCTTTTTGTTGTTAGTAAACAAACAACAACCGAGATTTTTATCTTCTTCCACGTTCGTTTCAATTAAGTATATTTCACAAAATAATAATAATAATAATAATGATAAAAAAAATGATTAAAACGTTCATTTAAAAAAAAAAAAAAAAAAATTACAAAAAGAAAATCTCTGAACAATTACTAAAAAAAAATTTTTTTCTACCACATCGAAAAAGTCTCGTCAGCCATGTTTGTTTTAAAAATAATAATGATGATGATGATAATAATAATGATAACAATCGGAGAGAACGATTCGATTTCAGGTTGTAACAAGTTAATCAAGTGAAACGTTTGAAAATACAAAAAAAAAAATTTCCTTTTAATTTTGGGATTTCCCTAATTATGAACTAAATAATGATGATGATGATAATAATGATAATAATGATAATGATGACAAATAAATAAATTAATTTAATTAGTAATCAAACAGTAGAAAAAAAAAACAAAAAAAAAAAATTTCACAAACTTTTTTTAAAATACGTTTTGTTAACGCACACGCACACGCACACGCACATCCACACGCACACCCACACACTGTATCAAATGATTTTACTTAAATAATAATAATAATATTAAAAAAAAATTATTTATAATCAATTTTATTTAATGTTTTATTTAATTTAAAAAAAAAAAAAAAGAAATTTATTTTCTTATTTTAAGATTATAAATATTATAAAATATTAATTACAATTTTAAAAAAAAAATTCAAAAATTTCAACGTGAAATAAAAAAAGAAAAAATTATTTATTTAACTTTGTTCAGAAAAAGAAAAAAAATTATTTATTAACCTTGTTCAGAAAAGAAAAAAAATTATTTTAAAAGGCATTTGAACACGTCGAATATAATAATTTCGTTTAAATATAATAACACACGTGGATTTTACGTGTGCATTTAAAAAAAAAAAAAAAAAACATTTTATTTTTCTTATTTTTACAATTTAATTCAAATTCGGAAAAATACAATTATTATCATTATTATCATTAAATTTGTAATTAAAACAATAATTAATTCGAGTACGTATATTAAAAAAAAAACAAGTACAAAAAAAAAAATTAAAAATTTTCCTTTCTTTATTTATCTTTCTCTCTCTCTCTCTCTCTCTTTTTATTGTAATTTTAAAAATTTAAAAATTATTTATTTCAAATTTATTAAAAAAAAGAAAAAATCTTAAAAAAGTTTAAAAATATTTTACTTAAAATAGCCTCCGTAGTAGTAGTAGTATTAGTAGTAATAATAATAATAATAGTAGTAGTAGTAACGGTACTCTTACTAAACTAAAAAAAAAATTATTATTATTATTATTTGCAACAAGTCTTTTCATTTATTTCATCATAAATACGTATTTATATATATAATATATAAATTATTATTATCATTATTATTATTTATTTATTTTTGTACATTTAAGTCTATCGAATTTTCTTTAAAATTAAAAAAAAAAAAAAAAAATTTTATTAAATACTTTTTACTCATTTATAAATAAATTAATCATCATCAATTTTTTTTTTTTTCCTTTTTTTCCTTTTTCTATTAAATATAAAATTTTTAAGTCTTATTATTATTATTATTATTATTAATAAAGCAGTAAAAAAAAAAAGGCACGATTATGAAACACATTTTTTTTTTCCTGCTTTTTCTTTTTTTGGTTTTTTAAAAAAAAAAAGTTACGGAGATATAAGTGTGTGTGTGTGTGTGTGTGTGGGTGTGGGCGTGTGTGACTTTAAAAAAAATTAATTAATTATTTATTATTAATTAATAAAAACGTTTTCTAGAATTTTCTTGTTGTTTTTGATAATACATAATCCCTATGACGACGATTGCTATTAACGTTATTGAACCTAACATCATGACTAAAAATAATTTTATTCCACTCCACGAGGACGGTTTCGGATCTTCTATTCTCTCTAAAATAATAATAATAATAAAATATATTATTCCATTATTATTATCATCATCATTATTATTATCATTATCATCAACATTTTTTTTTTTTTTTTAATTTGTTTTACTCACCTCTTGGTGGTTCGAAAAATACTGCACTTGGTAATACGTGACTCCTATCTTCGAATGCTTTACCATCTTGTGGAACATCTAATTCAAACAACCTAACTGATAATAAATCATGGTTGTCGCTTAAATCACCTGTCGCTGCTGATATTCCAAAATAATATCCTGTGGGAAGAATAATTCCTTTGGATTGAAAACAAACTTTCCAAGCTGCTTTGTTTTCAAAATCAGTCGAAACTGAATCGAGAGGAAAAGAAAAATTTATGAAATAATAATAATAATAATAATCGATTTTGGTGAGATTTTATTGGTTGTTTAATGAAGTACCTGTTAAAACATCTCTTTCATATCTTATGGCTATGTGAGTATCATAATCGACATTTCTAAATTTTGCTTCGCATCCGGCAATTTGTGTATGTGTGCCATCTCTGTCATGATCGTAATGAAGACTTCCATTATTTATCATCCCCGATATATATGGGTGTTGGTGCTGCAAATACAATACAATTTTATTGCCAACTGTGGAAAAATTAAGTGATGTTTAAATTTATAAAAATTAAAAGAATACCTGATGAGGTCCATTATGATTACTGTAAGTATCTAGAATAATAGCGAGACCCTGAAAATAATCCATGTTTCCAAAAACTGATCCGGGTATCATTCTGGATTGTGCATACCAAATAGCTAAACCATCTCCGTACAAATCTTTACCCGAACCATGTACTTTAAAATGAACTTGTAGTTCCCAATTACGAACCTTACAAGGCTGAAAATATTTATTTTATGTAATCCATGCGAAGCCATTTTAATTAAAAATAAAACATTAGCTTACTACTGCATTCCAAACGGCTCCTCTTTTACTTTGTGAATCAGGAGTTAAACGAACATAATTTGTTGTAACTATTGTATTTCCCAAAATATCCCAATAAGGTATTGAAGTCCCTGTGGCTAAAAATAGGTTATGTGAAATGAAAAATGATTTTAATGAATTTTATTTTGAAGTTAAATAAAATGATATAAAAAATATAATGACGAATCATTATTAACACTTTTATGAAATGAATATTCATGGATTTTAACATACCCTGGTAAGGTTTTATTAAAGAATGTTCTCTTTTCATAAAATCTTTTGTATTCCATTCTCCTTTTGATACTGTGCATAAAGCAGCTATTAATAAATATAAATAATTATTTTCTATTAAAAATAAACGCATCGCAATAAAATTTTACATCACAAAATAAGAAAAAAAAAAATTGTTTATTAAATGAAAATATGCATGTATGCTTTCCTAGAGTATGACAAAGGTAACTTTTTTTTTTTTTTTTTTTTTTTTTTTTTTTTTTTTCCTGTTTCACAAACCGAGATCGATCTATCGAATATCAGTAAGAAAAAAAATGTCCTTTGATTAGGATATGTTTTATATATATATGTTCAAATAGTGTCAGTAATGGTTTCTTTTGTTTTTATTTCATCACACCAGTTCTTTCATAAAAAAGTAGTTTTTTAATTAATTAATTATTTTATATATATGGCACCTAGTAAAGTTATATTGTTGGCATGTGGTTCATTTAATCCTCCAACGAATATGCATTTAAGAATGTTTGGTAAGTCATTATTATTATTATTATTTATTTATTTTTTTTGTAATTTGTCATATTTAACAATATTTGTTATCTATTTTTAGAAATGATGCTTTCTTTAAATATTATAATTTTTTTTTTTTTTTTTTTTAATAATAATATTTTTCATTTGATATATATTAAATTGTTTTTTTAAATAAATAAATTATTATATTTGTAAATATTTTGTCATTTTGAAAAACTTTTACATTTTCAATGAATTGTTGACAGATTCATATAACAGAATCATTATTATTATATTGAAAAATTATTTTTATTTATACGAATGTAAATTTTTTTAAATTTTTTTTTACAGAATTAGCTAGAGATAATTTAAATAGACTGGGGCAATATTTAGTTATAGGAGGCATTGTAAGTCCAGTACATGAAGCATATGGTAAAAGAGAATTAATACCAGGCACTTACAGATGTGAAATGTTAAAATTAGCTTTAAAATCATCAGACTGGATACACATCTCAGATTGGGAATGTTCTCAGGAAACTTGGTCACGTACGAGAAGAGTTCTTCAACATCATCAGGTAATGGTGATTATTCCCAACTTGAAACAATTCATTCCTATTATTTCTTATCAATAAGCACATTATTATTACAACATCATTATTGTTTTATCATTGTTTACATCAATTTTAATTTGTACTTGAAAAAGTGCCATCGTTTCATATTTAATATTATATAATTTGAAAAAAAAATTTTTTATTAATTTACAGAATGTTTTGAATTCTATATTAAATGATCAGATTGATATACCTAATAATAACAATCAAAAAATTGATTTGGAAAATGGTTACACTTATGAAAGTTGGATAACAAATGATATAAGAAATATGGAAGGACCCATTCAAATAAAACTTTTATGCGGAGCTGATTTATTAGAAAGCTTTGCTACCCCTGGTCTTTGGGCTGACGAAGATGTAAGATTGTAATTATAGAATTTTTAAATATTTAAAAAAAAAAAAAATTTTAATTATCATTAAAGTTACTTATAGATTTTTAAATAAAACATTTGCCAGAGTTAACAGCTGTCTACAATCACTTTGATTGATGTATTGTTTTACTTGTCGATTGATTTTTCAGTGTTTCCCTTTCCATAAGTGTGTGGAAGACTTTGATAGCTGTTAACGTTAAGCAAAAGTTTTTTGTTAAAATCATAATTTATGGCAGTACGGCAATATCAATAGCTTATCAAATCAAATTTTGTTTAAAAGAAATAAATAAATGAAAATATTTTTAGGTTGAAACTATAATTGGTCATTATGGTATTGTCGTCATTACCAGACAAGGAACAGATCCTTGGAGATTTATTTACGAATCAGACTTGCTCACAAAATATCAGCACAACATAATTATCGTCAATGAATGGATAACAAATGATGTTAGTTCGACAAAAGTCAGGAGAGCATTGAGAAGACATGAAAGTGTTAAATATTTAATTCAAGACTCTGTTATTGATTTTATTAAAAAGCACAAACTTTATGGAACGCATAAAAATATTACGTGAGTATCCAAACAACCGCAAAAAAAAAAAAAAAAAAAAAAAAAACAGCAAGCATTTATTTCTATATGTGAAATGGAAGGCTTCTTTCTTACTTTTTTTTTTTTTTTTTTTTGTTTCAAAAGACATTATTAAGAAAGATTTACTCAGGAAATATCTTGTATTTGAGTGATTTACAACCAAATAATATGTACTGATTATTTAAACAAAAGCTTACAATTGTGTAAGTTGAAAATATGTGATGATAGGGTTATTATTCTTCCATAATTAGCAAATTTAATTTATTATTGCCAACTTTATGCCATTTAATTTTAATTATTATTATTATTATTACTTTTTTTTTTCTCTTGGTGATATATATATATATATATAAATGAAAAATTTTCTAGTCTATCTTATATGAACATTATTAGGAAAAAAAAAAAAAATTTGATTTTGTTACTCAATTATATGGAAACGAAACATCACAAATTTTAAAAAAATGTAAATATTTTCAAAGACACAGCACAACACAACACACACACACATGCACTTTTATTTATATTTTTTGAGCGATTAAAAAAAAACAAAAAAAAAAAAAAAAATTGAAATTAAATTATATATATATGAAGTTATTTTATATGTTTATATGTATATATATATATAAATACACATAAATTTTTTTTATTTTTATATTTTAATCATGTTGTCGTTATTTTTTTTTTTTGTTTTTTTTTTACGAGTTTAATTTTAATTATTCATAAATGTGAAACATAATATCATCATCACACATCGTTAAATTATTTCATTATATATATATATAAAATATTATTAGTTTTTTTAATAATTATTTTCATATTTTAATAATAAGATTGATTTTAAAATAGAAACCCGAAATTAAATTAAGATAATTAAAAATTTAAATTTTGAGTATTAACCCAGGGAAAAATATATTTTTATATGAGTTGATTTAATATAAAACTTTTTATACATGAAAACAGGTTCATGATTTGCTTTTTATTATGAATGAATTATTCGAATGGGTAAATTGTATTTATATTTATTAATTTTTGTTTCATGCATACTTATATTTGGAATTTAGTAAGTACGAATCAAATTTTAATCAAAATTTAATTTTACCCATGAACACATACCTATTAACACCATCACCAAGCGATATGAACATGATGATACCCAATAATTCATGCACAAATAATGTTTACCTTACCTTAAATCCGTTATCCGTTGAAAAAAGCTGTTTAATTGACGAAGAAGAATATCCATCATCCATACAATCAAAAATGGAATGTTTTCCGAATAACGAACAAACTACGGATACAAATAAAGAATATAAAAATTACAATATGGAAACATTTTGTGATACAGATAAAATTGAAACAATAAATTACGAACAGAAAAAAAAGGTAGGTTTTACAAATGGTCAAACAAACGAAAATAATATAATTCAAAAAACAAAAACGGAAAATTTGGAAATGATAATCTCGGAGCCGAAAGATGTTGAAAATGTAACATTGCAAAGAAAAAATTCGAAAAAAAATGTAACGAAATCATTTGAAAGCAGAAAACTAGTGAGAGCTGAAAGCGTTAAAAAACCAAATGAGAATCAAATATCAAAGGAAAATTTAACACTTCGAAAATCTAAAAGCGATGCCGTTATGTCAACGAAAAAACAAAATGGCGATACGCCATCCGTTAAAATTCAATTTACAAAAGAAGGAATTAAGGTAATAAGTGATAAAGAAAGCATCGTTTAATATGTTTTTAATTAATTTCTTTAAAGTTACCTAAATGAGTTGGACGTAATTTTTTACTTATACTCTCGATATTATCTCTTCCATTTAAAATATATTTATATATATATATATTTATTTATAGAGCCAAAAAACTAACGTATAAGTATTATTATTACTTTATTACTGCCTTAGTAAAAAAATTAATTTTATTTATGGTAGCGCTCAAATTTACAATTTACAAAAAAAAAATTTTAATCTCTTATACGTAATTTATTATTATTTTATTACCGTAAGTTTTTGAAATCAATTATTAAAAAAAAAAAAAACTAATAAAATTGCTTCCGACAAACTGTTTGATTAGTCACGTGATTAAACTATTCACGTGATCAAACTATTCTTCCGTTATTTTAAATTTTTTTTGTTAAATAAAAAATTTTTTTAGTCTAGTCTTGTTTAATTGCCAAATAAAATTTATTTTAATCATAAAATTAATATTATTAGATTTTTAAAAATAAAAAAAGTATTTAATCGTTTTTTTTAAAAAAAGTGATTTTTATTACGTAATTATTAGAATCGAAAAATAGATGGGGAAAAAAACCGTTACGTAGAATAATATTTAACTAGATTCTATTTTTAAAAAAACTCAATCAAGTCAATTTTTGCTTATTATTAGAAAATATTTATCGAGTTGTAGTGATTTATTACAATCAAATTAATTTAATAATATATATATATATATAAATTTAAGACTGTAAAAATGTTAATTACTTTCTCCGTACAATAAAATTATTTAGATTTACGTGAACTACTTTTTTAGCTACTTTCTCATAAAAATCATGGAAAAAATATAATTTTCAAACGGAAGAAAACGAATAAAAATAATCGAAGAAAATATAAGAAAAATAAACAACGTCAATAAATAAAATAAGTTATTAAGTAAGTTGATTTTTTTTTTCCATAATCATCATCATCATCATCATCATCATCATCATCATCATTAATATCATTATCATTAATTAAATTAAAGTATGGAGAAAGTAAAAAAGCCAATCATATATAATGAGAAAATTTTTTTTAAATATATATATATATATAAGTAAATAAGAATTTCTTTTTACAGGTGTTAATTACATTTTTATACATATTTATGATAATACTTCATAATATAAAATTATTTATTTATTACAAATAGTCTAATTTATTCATTTTAAAAATTGTTAATAATAATAATATTAATAAGCATTATTGCATTAATTTTTTTTCATTCGTTTCGAATAAAGGTAATTAATTATTATTTATACCTGATTGTATTCGTTAATGATTTTAATCGCATGATATTATAGTAAGCATGTTAATATTGAATTTCAGGTAGTTGATTTGAATTGATGATTTGTTGCATGCCTTCTTCTCGTCTTGTAAGCCTAAATAGAAAGAAATTTGAAAAATTTTTTTAGGTAAGTTTAATTTATTTATTAATTTATTATCTATAAAAGTAAAGGATTGTAATAGTGAAAAATAAAATCTATATCAAATGTTTTTTATAGAAAACAATAAATAATATAATAGAGTAATAATATACATAAAAGTAAAAATAAATTTTTGTGGCACATTTAACTTTCGTTTTTTAATAATAAATGATTAAATATATATTAATAATTAATCTTTGGTAATAAACCACCAACTTATTATTATTATCATTTTTTTTCTCATGAATAAATGAACTGAATGAAAACTGTTTGTATCTCGAATGCAAACTGAATTTTACAAATTTACTGAATTAACATTATTTGTATTTTTGGTTTTTTGTAATTTTTGATTTTCCTGTGGTAAAGGATCACATGTACACCATGGAGTTGCAGTTCTGTTACATTTTAATCTTATATTTAAAATTTTTAATAATGAATCTTCAATGGTCATTGCTTGAACGGATTCTATGATGTAATTGACATCATGTAAACCCGTCACGTGATCCCGTTTATGCGTTACTTCTCTCTGATTGAAACATTTTTGCATGTCTCGTTTCCTTGTATGTTTATTATGATAATGCCTAAGAAAAGTTTTAAGTGGTTTCAATTCGATTCGTGAATTATCGAATAAATAAATAGTAAATATAATTACCAGAATGTATTGTTCTTTTTAGTTGTTATGTTGGTAGGCCTGAAAACTGCTATATTAGCATCTTTTAATCTCACATAAAATTCATCATCTTCTAAACCCCATCCCCAATATCTATTGCTCATTCCATTAACTAATTCAAAATCTTCTCTAAAAAAATAATAAAATTTTTTAAAATATTCCCTGTTTTATGTTAAATTCAAAAAAAAATAAATCAAATAATAAATTAATGTTCACCTTTTAATTAAAAGAATTCCTCCTACAAAAGTTGGATAATCATATTTGGGATGTAATTCCGGACTGGAAACGTGGAATACGCCAACTTTTGGATAGTCATATTTTAACTGATTGTTGAGTGGAAAAAGATCGACATCATGCATTGCCATATAATCACATTCATTTCTGGCATATTTAAATCCTACATTTATCAAACTAGCTCTATTAAATCTGTAATTGTCAACTTGATTCAATATGTACATTTGATGATTAACAAATTGATGATTTAAAAATTTAGTCATATATGGAGCAAATTTTAATAATTCATTGAATCTATCTCTGAAAGGTATTAACAATGCTAATTTATGATATGGTTTTCTAACATTAACTGCAGAATGAGAATTAACTTGTACATCAAGTGAATATCTATTATTTGGACAGATACATTCATCTGTAAATAAAAAATAATAAAATACATTTCCTAATACTTATTTACTTCTAATAATAAACACCTGGATTCAAAAACTTACCTTTCATTAAGATAAAAAGGCAAATAAAAATGATAAAAAAAAATATAAATAAGTACATAACAAAAAAGATTTTTTTTCGGTATATCATTTTTATAAAAATAAATAAAAGTTTATATCATCTATTTTTAGTATTAAATGAAGGAATGATCAAATTCATACTGAGTAGATATTTTTGCTTTTAGATATAAAAAATTTAATATATAAAATCGCTGGCTTTTATAAAAACATTTAAAATTTGAACATGGGTAACCAAAAAAAGTCGTTTAAATTTATAGAAGAAATATCCATTTAATAAAGTATGTTTTCTCTCTTGAAAAATGACGTCCTGAAATATAATTGCTAAGATATATATTAACGTAATTTCACGATGAAATTTTAAAATCAACAATGATAAATAAAATTTAATTTACTATAAAAATCTTACCAAATGTTTTCCGAATACATGAATACATTATCACAACAAATTTAAGGTTGTTGCAATTGCTGCCAACGTAATTTTTAATTTAAAAAAAAAATGACGCCATCTTAAGTAGTTTTAAGAAAAATCACCAACGCAGCCATTTTTATAATTGTGGTGGCGAAGTAATCGTCGTCAGTGAAATGTATCAATTTTTTCTATATCTAGTGTATGTATTGGTGTAACTAATAATCATATTCTAGTGCTAGAAAAATGGCTCGAATCGGACAGCGACCAGAAAATGCTCTGAAGCGAGCCAATGGTAAGTTAAATGATTTTTTTTTATAGAGAGACACTTGGCAATGTGGCTTATATATATATACATATATTCAATATGGGCCAAGTCCATTTTTAAGTTTAGGCTTCAAAAAAAAATTATTCTTTTAACATTTTAAAATTATGTTCTCTATATAACAACTTTTTAAATATTAATTTTTATTATTTTACTAATACATCTTTCCTTTTAATCATTTTAGAGTTTATTGATGTGGGGAAACCTGCTCGAGCATTAGACACGCTTTCAGAGGTTTTCCGAAATAAAAAATGGGCTTATACATGGAGCGAAAGTGTTCTGGAGCCCATAATGTTCAAATATTTGGACTTATGTGTGGAACTAAAGAAATCTGTTGTAGCCAAGGAGGGGCTATTTCAGTACAGGAATATGTTTCAATCCGTAAGTTTAATGTACCCTAACAAAAAATAATTTTTTTGTGATTTGATACGTTACACTTATAATAATAAATTTAAAAATTTAATATCATTAGGTAAATGTCGGTTCCTTAGAAAATGTTATACGATTTTATTTGAAAACGGCTGAGGAGAGAACTGAAATAGCGAGAAACCAAAGCCAGCAAGCTGTTGTCGACATTGAAATAGATGATTTAGATAATTTAGCCACTCCAGAAAGCATTCTTTTAAGGTAATTTAATTTACTAACTTTACATTTTATTTGTTCTTTTTTTGTTAAATTCACTAATGTCCATTTTCAAATTTTTTAGTGCTGTATGTGGAGAGGATGCTCAAGATCGTAGTGACAGAACCATCTTAACTCCTTGGGTAAAATTTTTATGGGAATCCTATTGTCAATGTCTGGAGCTCTTAAGAACTAATGTGCATGTGGAAACATTATACCACGATATAGCAAGAATGGTCAGTATTTTTTTGTTCTAATTTAAATTTAATTTTTTTTTTTTTCAATTCCCTTAGATTGTTTTGCTCATTACATTGTTAATTGAAAAATTTTCTTTGTTTTTTATTTATTTTATACAGACTTTCCAATTTTGTTTAAAATACAATAGAAAAACAGAATTTAGAAAATTGTGTGATAAATTAAGAAAACATTTGGAAGATATTGGAAAATTAGCACCTCAAGTTGCCAATGTTTCTATTTCAAAACCGGAAACTCAACAATTGAATTTGGAAACTCGATTGTATCAATTGGAATATGCCATTCAAATGGAATTATGGCAGGTGAAGTATTTCATTAACTAAAACTAAACTAAATAATTCTGTAATTTAATTTCAATATTGATAATAATATTCATGTATTTTATCATTTAGGAAGCTTATAAAGCTATTGAAGACATTCATAATCTAATGAGTTTGTCCAAAAAATCTCCCATGCCAAAAACGATGGCTAATTACTATCAAAAATTGGCATTGGTATTTTGGAAAGCTGGTAACTATCTTTTTCACGCAGCAGCCCTATTCAAGCTTTTTCAATTAAGTAAAGAAATGAAGAAGAACATGTCGGCTGAGGAATTACAAAGGTATGATCTTTAAAATGATAATTTTTATATTATACTTAACAAAAAAAAAAAAAAAAAAAATGCTAGGGAAATAATTTTGAGCACAAATTTAACTAGTTTTAACTGTATTAAAACTGGTTTTCTTTATCAGCGTGCTTAAATTAAAGTAACTTTCAGACACCTTTTAAGAATTGAACTTTTTACGAGGTCGCATTTCAAGTTAAACAGTAGATCAATTTATAAAATCAATGGAATTTTTTAGTAACGTGAATAATGCAACCCTTATATGCTTGATTTTTAACATAGGATGGCCTGTCGTGTATTATTGGCAACGCTTTCCATTCCTTTACCTTCTGCTCATCCAGAGTTCGATAGATTCATTGAAACGGATCGGTCACCTTTGGAAAAAGTTCAAAGATTGGCTACGCTTTTGGGATTATCACAACCCCCCACCCGGGCCTCACTTCTTAAAGACATTGTAAGGGCAAATTTTTTTTTTGTGCATGTGAACAATTTTTTTTTTGAATAAGTAATTCTGTATTTTTTTTTTTTTTTGCATAATTTTTTAGATTAGAGTGAACGTAGTAAATCTGGCATCTAAACAGCTTCAAGATTTATATTCTTGGTTGGAAGTCGAATTTCATCCTTTGCTTTTATGCGAAAGAGTTCAAACGGTTATTGAAGTACTTCAAAGTGAAGAAAGTTCTTCTCTTCAACAATACATACCAGCTCTTCAGGATGTAACTTTAGTCCGTCTTATTAAGCAGGTAATTATTAATATTATTATTATTTTTTTTTTTTTTAATTTTATCATTTAACACATTGAATTAATTTTAAATAAATAAATATTTCAGGTGGCTCAAGTTTATCAGACAATCGAGTTATCAAGAATGATGCAACTTGCTAAATTCACAGATGCCTTTCATTTGGAAAGACTGCTTGTTGATTGCGTACGCCATAATGATATGCAGGTAGATATGCAAAAATAATCTTTTTTTTTTTTTTTTTTTTTGGTTCTTAATTTAATTAATAAAATGAATGCGCGTTTTAAATTTTAGATAAGAATCGATCACGGAGCCAAATGTATTAGATTCGGAATAGATTTGAGCGAAGCTCAAAGGGAAGATAAACCGGAGGGTCCTACCCTTCAGTGCATGCCCTCGGAACAAGTTCGTAATCAGTTGGTCAATATGGCGGCAGTTCTTCACAAAGCTATGGCAACGATAAATCCTAATAAAAAGAAGGTATACAAAACAAAATTATTATTTATTACTACTCAAAATTGAGTACTAAAACATTCACGCTGATGAATATTTTTTTTTTTTCCAGTTGGAAAGAGAAAAACTTCGAGCTAAAATGGTTCAACAATATCACGAATCTAAAATTTCAGAACACGAAAGAATTCTCAAGCGCCATAAAATTATCGAAGATAGAAAGGAGTATATAGAAAGGAAAAACACGCAGAGGGTATTTTTCATTTCATCGTCTATTTGTATTTAATGCGACAACAATTTGAAGCTAAATATTTATTATCATTATTAGGAGGAAGAAGAAATGCGGCGTCAAGAACACATTCAACGTCAATTATTACTTCAGGAACAAAAGAGACTTGAAGCGGAGAGAGAGGAACGAGAAAGAAGAAGACAAGAAAACGAAATCCAACAAATCCGCGACAGACACTTGAAAGAAAGAATGCAAGCCATTTCCCAAACGGCACACGGTCAAAAAATATTGAAAAAACTTGACGAAGATGTGAGGAGAGGATATCATATTATTTTTGAAAATTGGGAGAATCATTTTATTTTTTTAATGAAATTTGTTACAGGACATGAAAAAATTAGATGCTGAGCAAATAGCTGCAAAAGAACAAGAAGAAATACAAAAAGAAAAGAGGGAAATGCAGCAAAAATTGAAAACTCAAGAGAAGAGAGTTGATTATTTCGAAAGAGCAAAACGTTTGGAAGAAATTCCCTTGTTAGAAAAGGCCTTTGAAGAAAAACAGGTATGTGTCCAAAGGAAATTGTTTTTATTTTGTCGTTTGTTTTTTTTTTTTTTTTTTTTTTTTGAAATTAAAATCATAATTTTTAATTTTTTCATTCCAAGGTTCAAGATAAAGCTTTGTGGGAACAAAGGGAAAAAGAAAGAATTGAAAAGTTGATTGAAGATCGCGAATTGGCCGTCAAATGTGCGGAAAGATTAAAAAGGATGGCCGATGACAAAAACGCATTCTTGGAAAAACTTAAATCCGAGAGGAAAAACGTTTATTTGGAAAAGCTCAAAGATTTTGAAAAACGTTTGGATGAGGAAAGGAAGAAACGTTTGGCCGAACGTCGGCAACGTCGTAAAGAAGAAAGACGTGAAAAACAAGCAGCAGCTGAGAAGAAGAGATTGGAAGAAGAAGAGAGAAGGAAACAACGTGAGGAAGAGGAAAAACAAGAAAAGTTGAGAAAAATGCGTGAGGATGAATTGTACAGGTATTTATTTGTAAATTTCTTTAAAAAAATAACGAAAAACCCTTTCGTTAAATTTTTATTCAATCGGGATTAATGTTTTTTTTTTAAAGGAAAGAAAAAGAAAAGAAAGATCATCAAGCAGAAATACAAAGAGCCAGGGAAGAAGAAGCAGAGCGGAAAAGATTGGAAGAAGAGAAAAAATTTAAAGATTACGAACCTTGGAGAAGTGAAAAGGAACCGAGGTTCAGAGATGATAGAAGGGATCGAGATCCAGACAGGAATAGAGACAGAGAACGGGAGCGAGATCGTGATCGTGACCGTGACCGTGATCGAGACCGCGACCGCGATCGAGACCGTGATCGTGATCGTGACAAAGATAGAGATAGAGATGACGGAAACGATGATATGAATTGGAGAAGGGGTGGAGGACCTCTTAAGGATGAGCCTAAAAAGGTTGAATCGTGGAGGCCACCAGGTACACTTATAATTTATTATTTATAAAAAATTTGATTTAATTTAAATTTTAAATGACGCGCCATTTTTTTTTTTACAATCATTTCAGCTCTTCGTAATCGCGGGGCAGAAAACCGAAATATGGATAGAGAGTCGAAACCGGCTGATATTTCTGAAAATTGGAGATCTGGATCACGAGCTGAGCCTTCTGATAGATTTAATCGCGATAGAATGAGGGATAGAGACAGGGACAGAGACAGAGATAGAGATTGGGATCGCGATCGTGACAGAGATCGTGACAGGGATCGCGATCGGGATAGAGACCGTGATAGAGATCGCGATCGCGATAGGGATCGTGATAGAGATCGTAATAGGAATGGAAGGGATTCGGGGCCACCGATGAGTTGGAGAAACAAGGAGGGCCCTGATAGGTTAGTAAAAAAAAATTTTTATTGTGAAAGTAAATTAACTAACAAAAATTTTAATTGGATTTTCTTTTTTTTTTTTTTTTTTGCTGTCAGAGGAGACAGAGACCGTGATTGGGATAGAGACAGGGATAGAGATCGTGATCGTGATCGCGACAGAGAGCGTGATCGGGACCGAGACCGAGATAGGGACAGAGAGATAGGCAGAGAACGCGACCGCGACCGCGATCGTGATCGTGACCGTGGAGGAGAGAGAGGACCAATGCGTAGAGATGATCACATGAGACACGATCGTGGTAAATATTTTTTTTTTTTTAAAAAGAATTTTGTAAAAGAGAATTCTTTTCAAATCATTTTTTAATTTTTTGTATTATAGGACGAGACGATTGGCGTAGTTCGGCCAGAGACGAGCCCAGAGGAACTCCAACAAAATCAAGAGATGGAGGAGGATATAAAGATGATTCGAGAGGGATGGGAAGAGACGGTCCAAGAGATCATTCTCAAAGAGAAGAAAAAAAAGGTGGTGAGTAGTGTTCATGCATTTACTTTATGTCACTTTGAGCGAGCCATAAAAAAAAAAAGAATTTCGTATGTTAATCGACCCCCCTCACCCCTCCATGTTTTAATTATTAAGGACACCAAGACCAAGATGATGATGATTGGAAAACCGTGAGCGGAAGACGATAAAATGACAATGATTATGATGATGATGATGATGATGATGATAATCCCAATAAAAGACATTCGATTTAATTTAATGAAGAAGATGAAGGGAAAGGAGAAATAATTTAATTAAATTTATTGATTTATTTTTAATTATTAACGCACAGATTTCAATCAACTTTTCTTTTTTTAATTATTATTTTAAATAAATTTCTTGTTTTTAATTATTAATATTATTATTATTAATTTGGAAAATTCGAATGTCTACTTATAAGGAGGAAACGTGGAAAAAATGATGAATGGGTTTATTATTATTATTATTATTATTATTATTATTAAAATGTCGTCTTTTTTTTTATTAGATAGATTTTATTCGTTTTTTTTTTTTTTTTAATATAATTTTTATAATTATCTAACGAATATTATGATAAAAATTATTAAATAATTTTAATCAATTCATTTGGTATTGGGATGTTTTCTTTTTTTTTTTTTTTTCATTTTAATTGTCATTTGGTAAATATAGAATGTCTAATGAGAAAATTAGAGAAAAATTTTTTTGTTTTCCCGTTACCCCCCCCCCTCTCCCCCGAATAAATAAATAAATAAATTTTCTTTTTTTTTTTTTCATAAAATTTCATAAATTATATATATATATTAATTTATTATTTATATAAATTATACAATAAATATTTTTTCTTTCTTTTTTACATAATAATAATAATAATTTGAATTTTCTAACTATTTTGTTTATAATAATAATAATAATAATATTAAATTATTTAATTATTTTATTAAGTCGCTCCAAGATGCACATTTTTACATTTAAATAAATTTTATTAATAATTTAAAATAATACAAAAACAAAAGAAAATACCAGCAGTCTTGAAAAATAACACTGTCGACTAATTGAAATTAAAAACATTTTATTATTATTATTATTACTGACAACCATTCAAGGTTTTGGAGATAAACAACAAATGATTAATAAATACATGTGTGGAAAAATTATTCATTCAGTGGCGGTTATTGTGATCGTTTTCCCTTTGGGATCATCAAACCTGTCATTTGTGTTTATGTCCATTATCATGACGATACCCCAAGCTAATACAATTGAAAGTATAGCAACGATTACAATACCTGACCAAATGGCAATTGAAAAATATGGAATGCAATGCATGACTGGGCCGAATGAATTACCTTTTCCAACTCTAGGTTGTACCTGAAAAAGAAAAATTTTTAAATCATCAATTCATATTCAATTAATAATAATTTTAAACAAAAGGGAGGAGGGGGAGGAGTTTTTCGTTAAAAAATATATATATATCGCACATACTTGGAAATTATCAAAAGTTAACGATGCTTCTTTAGAGCTAAAAACAATGCTAGGATTACAAAAGTAAGAATAATCATATGGTGCACCGACTTCTTCCGTTGGATTTAATGTTTGTTTCGAATGTAATATCTCAGCGCTATCTAAACTCCACCAATCGTTGTCACCGCTTGAAAAATCAAATTTTACCGAAATATCCTGGAAAAAAAAAAAAAAATTAAAAAATGAATTTGAAAAATTTGAAATTTTTTATATTATTATTATTTTCTTACATTTTTTTCAAATGCAAATCTAACTGTCATAGATATTTTATCTTTTTCAATGTTAGTCGTTGGAGTTCCGATAACTTTTGTTATATTAGCCAATATCATTTTATCTCCATCTTTGTATTGATATAATACTGGTACTGAGGCTGTCATTCTAACTAAATTCTTTTCATCTGTTATAATGAGATCACTGCCTTCGTTAGCTTCTGTAATTACATTGTAAAAATTATTTCTATGCAAGAAATTAACTTTCGAGATGTTTTTGAATTATAATTTAAATACCTGAAACTTCACGCTTGCTCCTAGGTATTTCATTTTCAAGCCAACTATTGTGATTTCCTGAATAAATACCCAAAATATTTTTTTCTTTATTCATTGCTTTTTCATAAAATTTTATCATATCTTTATCATGATCCTTTAACATATCCATTCGATCCATAACACGATGAGGATTTTTAAATTTAAACTCATAAATATTGTGACCGGTTATGTTAAAAGAATCTGCATTTCTATCGTTAAAGTGTTTCCAAGAATAACCATATGATTCCAAATATTCAAGACCTAATTTTGGATTTTCTACCGATGGAAGAAAAGCAAAATCTAAAAAAAAAAAAAAAAAAGATTTTGTTGTATTCAAAATCAAGAGCAGGTAAAAAAAAAAAAATCAATACTAGTTTTATCAATATTATTTTTACCTTTTGCCGTAGTGGAAATTTTTTTCAAATGAGGGAAAGCTAAATTTCCTTTATCATCTCTCCAACTGAAATCTTCTACACTTAAATAATCTTCCATAAAAACTATAATTGCTGGTTTTTCAGCCTTAACCTTCTTTAAAATGTAATCAGTAAAGTCATTAGAACTGATTCTAGAAAAAGCAGAAACTTCTGTAAAATGTTGCTTTGAGGGTTCCGTGCTCCATAATAAAACAGGCATATATTCTTCACACAAAACTAAATTTGAACATAATAAAAATAAAATTAAATTAAAAACAATCATATTTAACGGGTTATTTCACGTACTATCGATCATAAGACAGAAGTAAATTGTCACATGATGTTCAAAGGAAAGCAGTGACTTTTTCAGAGAAGGCGGTGATGAATGATTCGCAATATTAACAATATATAGTCACCGGTGTCAGTGTGAGATCTAATTCTTTTACAAAATGGTAAGTTAATTGTATTAACGAATATATGTTTACATCACATTATTCGAGAATTATAACTAAATTTATAGGAATAGTTATTAACATTATGTTAAAAATAAAAATGAGAGGGAAACGCGTGTACGAAGTCATTATACTTTCTACCTTGTCATTTAAAAATATTGAAAATACATGAAAATTTTTTTGCAATAATAAATTTTTAATTTTTTTTCTTTTTATTAATTAAACAAATATATTGTACAAGTTATAATGTCACTGAATAACTGATTATCGAATTTCAAGCTTGTTTAGTTTTAATTTCATGTTTTGTTTATGTTAACCTAAAATAATAATTACAAGTTTTCAAAAACTTTTTGTAGGGTAGTACATAAACTTAATTATTATTATGTATATTTATTATTTTAGAGTATTTTAGCTCACAATGGAGGAGCTGTTGTTGCAGTCACAGGAAAAAACTGTGTAGCAATTGCATCAGATCGTAGATTTGGTGTTGGTGCTCAAACAATATCATGTAACTTTCAGGTAAGCTTCATAGTAAAATTCAAGGCATTATTTATTAAAAAGCTTAATATATTTATAAATGAACATTTCTGGCACTACTACTGAAAGCTAATAAAAAAAAATTAAATTAATTTACAGAAAATATTTGAAATGGGACCCCACTTATATGTCGGACTCCCTGGATTAGCCACAGATACCCAAACTGTATATCAAAGATTGAGATTTCGCCTTAATTTATATGAATTAAAAGAAGGAAGAAAAATTGCCCCAAAAACATTTTCTCATATGATGTCTAATTTGTTGTACGAGAGGAGATTTGGGCCTTATTTTGTGGAACCAGTTGTTGCTGGATTAGATCCTACTACTGGCAAACCATTTGTTTGTAATATGGATTTAATCGGTCAGTAATATAAATTTTAAATTGCTGTTTTTAAATTGTAGATGTTAACACTGTTACAAAGTAATTTGATTTCTTTAGGTTGTCCAAATATGCCTGAAGATTTTGTCGTAGCAGGAACCTGTAGTGAACAATTGTATGGAATGTGTGAAACTTTATGGGAACCTAATCTAGAACCTGATGAATTGTTTGAAGTTGTTTCGCAAGCTCTTGTAAATGCATGTGACAGAGATGCTATTTCTGGTTGGGGTGCAATTGTTCATGTTATGTAAGTATTTAATAAATATTACTGTAATCTTTATTAAATATTCAATTTTTAATTATACAATTTATATTTCAGTGAACCTGATAAGGTGACAACAAAAATATTAAAAACCAGAATGGACTAAATGGTTTTTAAAAAAATTTTTCTCAATTTTTCATTTTTTTTTTTTTTTTTTGTATTTTTTTTTTCTAACAATATAAAGATAATTAATTAATTGCGTATATGTTTGAATTTATAATTTTCTATCCTGTTTTTAAAACGGAAGTTTATTAATTTCAATTAAGTGGAAAATAAGCGTTATGCAAAGGGTAAAATTTGAAACTTGGCGACAAAATTCCCTTCAATGGGATTATTGCACCTCGTGCGTTAGGTTGCGTTGTTATTGTTTTAAACTTGTTAACGTTTATCCGTAATCTTTAAGGAAAAAAATGGGTAAAAAAAGTAAAAATAAAGATTTAAATTTAGAAGAAGATGTACAAAATATTACGTTAGAAGATCAGCAGCTTAGTTACGAAGATAAATTAAAATTCGTCAATGTCATAGCTAAACCCATGGCAAGTAAATCTCAATCTAAAAAACTATATAAATTAATTAAGAAGGCTTCGAAAGAAAAAGGATTTCTTAAATGCGGATTTAAAGCCGTTCAAAAACAAATAAGAATCGGAGAGCGAGGATTATGCATATTTGCCGGAGATACTACTCCCATAGATATTATGTGTCACATGCCGGCTGTATGTGAAGAAAAAAAAATTCCTTATTGTTACACACCCTGCAGAGATGATTTAGGTAAAATTTTTAGTATTTAACTTTAAAACTTTTCTTACAGTAATATACTTATAATTGTATTGTTAATATAAATAAAAATTATTTTTACTGTAGGAGCTGCCATGGGAGTGAGAAGCGGTTCAGTTGCACTTTTAATTAAACCTCACGATTCTTATCAAGAATTATATGATGAAATGTTTGAAGAACTTCAGTCCTTACCTGTTCCTGTCGATGTTAAAGCTGAATATGCAATACCTCAAGGAAAGTTATGAATTATTATAGTTTATATTCTGAAATTTTTTAATTACAGCAATTATTTTATAACAATATAATTTAATTTTATGTTTATATTTTTTTCTAAGTATAAAATTAAATTCAAAAACAGAGAGGAGACAAAGCATTCTAAATCAAATGGTTTATGTAAATTACAACTTGTCGATTACAAATTATTAAATTGTAATAATCGCTTTAAGAAAAGTTTGTTTTTCGAGTTAAATACGATTGTAAAATTAATTTTAATAATTAGTAAGTACAAATACTTTATTGTTGTTTCAAATTAAAGTAAATTTGTATAAAAATATAAAATAATTAACTGCTATTTGTCAGATTAAGAAAAAAAAAAATCAATTATTCGCAATATTCTTTCATTCGAAGAATGAGATGATAAACATATTTTTGTCGAGACATTGTCTCATAAAAATTGTTAAATTTTTTTTTTTAAATCAAAACTTTTAATTACGTAATAAATAACGATGACTTAGTTTTTATTTTTTTTTATTAATATTATTATTGGAAATCAAAAAATAAATATAAACACGTCACTTTCATTTTAAACAAATTTATAAATGAATAAATTTCAAGTTATTAATATTAATATATATATATATATTTATAATTCAATATTCTGTGAATGAAATGTGAATCATTGTATGTTGTTTTATATATATTTATATATTCGATTTAAAAATAAAAAAAATATCCGCCGTAAATTTTTAAATCAGATGCTATAAAAAAAATAAAAATAAAAATGGCGGAGGTCGTTCGTTCGTTCGTTCTAAGAAAAAATAACGTACGGCAGACAGAGACGTTCGGTAGTCACTTAGTTGATGTCTTTACATTTGAATAGTTGTCTATTAATAATATTTTATTAAAAGTAAAAGGATTATTATATTTAAATGATTAAAGTGTCTCCTCGTTGTAAGTTAATAATAAATTTAGTAGATAATTAAATGAACAAAACAAATGTTGAGTGAAATTTAAAAAAAGCGGGGAAAAAAAAAACCTTGGCGAAAAAAAAATAAATAAATAAATTTTTTTTTTTAGTTATTAAGTGAATTAGTTAATAAACTTAGCCAAATAATAGTTTTTTTTATTGAGGTAAGACATTTTGTTGATTTACATCATTTAAAAAAAATTTTCTTTCTGTTTTAAGTAAGTTTAACATTATTTTATTTTAGGTTTGTTAAGAGATATAAAAAAAAGAAAAATGGCGGAGGAACCATCGAGAGATAGTCCAGTGTTACCATTTAAAACTCGTAAACTTTCCAGACCGAAACTTAAAATCCCACAGATAAACATTTCAAATATTTCCAATAATATACCACAGATGAATCGTTTGAGGCATCCAGATTTATCAATGCCTGGAGGATGTGCCATACCAATAGGAAACACAAATGGTCCATTTGGAATATTTCAATTTCATCCGACGAAAGCAAGCGAGTACATGAATAAAAGATATGAAAATTTTAAAGACTTTACTAAAAGCACAGCAAAATCCGGTTTAAGTTTTGGAGAGAAAACACTTTTTTGGATTAACGGAAGAGTACGACAATTATCAAAAAGATGGTTCACCCACATATTTTTATTTCTCGTCGTACTCTTATATAGTTTTTTGGGTTCGTTACTTTTCGTTACGGTCGAGGGTACTCACGAGGATAAAGAAAAAGCGGATATAAATAAAGAATTAAATTTATTTATATTTAACATGAGAAGGTTGGCAATGGATAAAAATGTCGTTTTCGATGGTAAACTATGGGAGAAAAACGTTAAGGAATTGATAGCACCCTACGAGACTCAACTTTTGGAAAGTTACAGTCATGGCGTCACACCGGATCAACATAAAACGTGGTCATTTTGGAATTCTATGTTTTACTGTGGTACAATATACACAACAATAGGTGAGTTGTTTGTTTGTTTGTTTGTTTTTTAAATAATAAAAAAAATTTGCGGTTTGTCTCTTTAACGTATACCATAAAACCTCAAGTTAGATCATCTTGAGATGTTTCTTTGGATTCGAGCCAGTTAACGACAAAATTAAAATTAAATTAAATTAATTTAATGACAAATTCAAATAATGAAAAAACCCCCGTGCGTGTGTGTGCGTGTGCGTGTGCGTGCGTGCGTGTGTCAACGCCTAATTTTAATCCCATAATTGTAAGTTTATGACTTTTATTAACGAACGTTTCAATTGTGTAAACTTTATTATTATTATTATTATTATTGTCATGAATGATTATTATGATACCTTTTACCATTAATTAACCCCCTAACCCTTCCCCTCTCGTTCCACTCCCCTTCCCCCCCCAAAAAAAAGAAAAGAAACGATGGGGAAAAACGCGTGGTAAAAACTTTTCCAACGCATTAATAATGATATTAATTCGACGGATATATAAATTTTGCGTGTGCGGGTGGGGGGGTACGGGTGAGGTCGGTTTCTCAAAAAAAATATATTAAAATAAAGGGGGGAGAGGGGGAGAGTGAGAGAGATTTGAAAATGTCGTCACCCACAAAAAAACTGAGTCATTATTATCTGCAAATAGTCGGAAATAAATTGTTCATTTTCTTTTTTCTTCTTTAGTTAGCCACCCACGCATGTCACATAAATTATTATTATTATTATTATTTATTTAAAAACAAAAAGTTATTAAAATAATAATAATAATAAAAATTTTACCAAATCGTATTTAGACACTTAATAATAATAATAATAATAATATTTAATTATTACTTTTTATTTTTTTAACTTTTATTTCTATCATTATTATTATTATTTATTTTTAAAAAAAACAACATGGCGTTGCTTGTTTAAAATGTAACAAAATTAATAAAAAAAAAAAAAACGATTTTAATAATAATTTTTTATTAATAAATAAATAAATAAATAAAAATTTATTAAAATTTTCGCCGTTTTATAAAATATTTGATCGTATCCCAAAATTTTTTCCTTTGTTTTTGTGGGTGTTTTATTAAATTATCCTTATTACTACCCTGTTCAGAATCTGTCGGAAGGTAGAGGGGAGGAAGAAAGGGGGGGGAAATGTTTTTCAAAATGATATTTTCCAACGTTATTTTATTTATAAATCTTTTTTTTTGTTCTTCTTCACCTGTCGGATTGTTGTTGTGCATTTTCATCAAATGGCCATTTTCCAAAAAAAAAAAATTTTTCCTTTATTTATTTATATTAATTTTATTTTTAAAAATTTATTTAATATTGTTTCATTTATTATCATTATCATCATTATTATTATTAATCAAATTAAAATTAATTAATTTTGTTAACTTTTTGTTTGTTTAACGAACGAACAGACGAACAAAGTTTTCCGAAAAAAAAAAAAAATTCTTTGATATTTTGATTAATTAATTAATTAATTAATAAACAAATTAATTGTTTAAATGTTTGATGGGGAGACGAGGGAGGGGAAGGGGAAATAAAATTTATAACCCTCTCTCTCTCTCTCTCTCTCTAAATTTTTTTTTTATTACTTATTTTATTATTGTCCTCCAATCCTTTGATTATATTAAATCAACCTTAATTTGAATTTTATTACTTGGGAAATAATTTAAAATAATAATAATGATAATGATAGTAATAATAATAATAATAATAAAAGTAAATTTTAACGTTTGTTTTTGGCGGTTAGAATGTAAAGTTTTTCTTTTTTCTTTTTATTATATTATTATTATTATTATTTTGCGTTTAGCGATCGTATAAATTGGGTCATCGAAAAATAAAGAAGGAACTTGTGTTTTTTTTTTTTTTCGAAATGAGAAAAATATGTCGTAGACCTATCGAATGATAAAACAGTCAACGAATTTTTTTTGCCATTAAATTGTTTTTTTTTTTTTTTTTTTTTTTTTTTTTTTTTTTAATATCCATGTTGTTGGCTGGCGTCGTTTCAGGAAAAAATTAGAAATTTTCGCAATTTTTTTTTATTTTTAATTTTTTTTTTATTTTATTATTATTATAATCACAACGAATGAAAACACGTTTGTTTATATTAGTTAAAAATGTTGTGAAAATAAAATAAGCGAAAAGAAAAATTCTAAAATAATCGGTGCTGCTGCTGCTGTTGCTTTTCTTTTTTTTTTTTTTTTTTTTTTTGTAAATTTTTTAAAATTAAATCTGAGCGACATGAGAATTACGAAATAAGAATAAAAAAAAAAAACAAAATGGCGGATAATAACGAAGATGAAAAAATTAAATTATTATTAAAAAAAAATAATAATAATGATTCGAATGAAGAAATAATAACAAAAACGTTAAATAGTGATTTACATAATAAAAAAACACGTAGTTTTTTAAATAATAATAATAATAATACGAATCGAATTAAAAATCGAATGACGAAATCGTCGAGACGAAGAGCAGGAACACCAGAACCGGATGATAAAATAACGTATACGGATGATAGTGAAAAAGATGTCAGTGATGGTGATAATTTATCAAAATCAAAAGAAAGTTTAATGGCGACGATAAGTGGTGGTGGTGGTGATAAACAAAGTACGGGAATAAAAAGATTTATATCGAGAAGGAATCATAACATGTCTTACGAAAGGAGTAAATCGTTGGAAAGAACAACAGCACGAGTACGTTCAGAACCGGAAAGCGAAGATGATTTTGAAACGATAAGAAAAATGCATAAGAGAAAAGAAATGGAAGATGAAAAAAAAGAATTGGATAAAATGATGGAATGTATAATAAAATCTAATGAAAAAAAAGGTGAACCTAAAAAATATGTACCCAAAGACATGCCACCACTTATCGAAGGACCCAAAGATTTGAAAAAAAGAAAAAGACATAAAAGTTTACCATCCCAGCAAGAATTCAACAACAACGAAGATGAAAATGTAAAAAATACTCCCATATTGTTAAAACCGATATTGGTAAAGAGAAAAATGTCGACATCTGACGAAGAAGGTAAATCCGAAATTATTTATAGAAAAATGAATCAAAGGAAATTGTCGGTTGCTGACACGAAAGCAGACGATATTTTATTGTCGTCTAATGATGGCGGCGGCGTTGGCGGTAAAAATGATGAAATCCCGTTAGGAGGAAAAGACGTTGAAAAAAAATTTGGATTTTTTAAAAGATTTTTTAGTAAAAAAAATGAAGAAAATGAGAAAAAAATAAAAGAAAATTTATCTGATGATGAAACGGAGAAAAAATGGATTTTCCCAGAAATATTAACACAATGGAAAATTCACGTTAATGAAAATAGAAATTATTATAATAATTTTTTATTATTGAAAAATCGATGTTTTTCCGATTTGATAATATTGATTTTTTTTTGCGGTTTTGGGGGTCTCATTTTCCGTTTTACCGAGGGTGCATTCGAATCGTTTTATAAATGCGGTGTTAAAAGAGTCAAAAGAGATTTCATTGATACTTTATGGAAATACAGTCAATACATGTTGGAAGATGATTGGAAAAGTCAAGCGAGAAGAAGATTGATGGAATTTGAAAATCAATTACATTCAGCTCACGAAGCTGGTATGACATCATATAGTGGTCAAAAATCTTGGTCTTTTCTTAATGCTGTTGTTTATTGTTTGACTGTTGTGACCACCATAGGTGAGGTGGCCCCCCAACGGATGTGACTTTTCTTCTTCCTCTTTCTTAATTTCAATTCAAAAAATTTATTTTATTTTTCAGGTTATGGTCACATATCTCCTTCTACAACGACAGGACGTGCTATAACAATTATTTATGCTATTTTTGGTATTCCAATGTTTTTAATTCTTCTTGCTGATTTTGGTAAACTTTTTACAAGAGGTATTAAATTTTTATGGGCTTTTGTACGAAGACTTTATTATACCGGAAGTTGTAGGAGAGTTAGAAAAACGGCACCGGTTCAAGTAGGGATCAACAAACTTTTTTTTTTTTTTTAAATATAAGCAATTTAAATTAATTTAAATAAAAAAAAAATTTTTTTTTTTTTTTTTAGGAAATGATGAAAGGTGTGCAAATCGTATATGATTTTGCAAAAACGAGAAAATTTTCAGGTACTGCTGGAATGGAGAAAACACCGAATCATTTAAGGCCTCCCGATTTAAATTTACAAGGAATTCCAGAAACTCCCGGTTAGTTTTTTTCTTTCTCTCTTTTTAATTACAGTAAATGGATGCTATAAAATTATTTTTTTAATAACGATTTCAGGTACGCCTAATTGGTCAAATTATGAAATAGACGACGAATTTAATTTACCGATTAGCGTTGCTATTTCCATACTTTTAATTTATATATTTTTGGGTGCATTTTTATATTGGATGTGGGAAGACTGGAGTTTTTTCGAATCTTTTTATTTTGTTTTTATATCAATGTCGACAATCGGTTTTGGAGATTTTGTGCCTCAAGTAAGAAAGTTTTCGAATTTACACGTACAACTTTGAAACCCATTTATATATGTTCTTTAATTTTTATTTTTTAGCATCACTATTTACATGATGCTTTCAATTGATTACTAAATATTCTGCCTTGCTTAAACATCAAAGTGCATAAACGTCGTGCAAGAAAAAACTTTCTGACACTTTAAACAAGCAACTGTTAAATTAGGAACCACAATCGGGTTAAACGTTGACGATTCTAATCCAGTCGTACAAGAAATTGCTATTCCTCAAGAAAGCAATATGGGACAAATCAATTAATATTTATTGTGTAATGAATAAAAATAATTTTTTTTTAATTAAAATTTTTTATTTGTATAAATACCTTTTATTATTGCTAGAATATATATTATTTAAGTTAATAAAAATAATTTTTTGTTTTGTCGACAATTTTCTCTCTTTATCTGTTCGAGCGTTTTTTTTTCAAAGTTGGCAACAACGTAATTACATCTACGCCATTGTAAAATTTTTATTATTTAAATTCTTGAATTTTTTTATTCAGCATTACCGTAGAGTAATTAAAGAATAAAAAAAAAAAAAATAATAATAATATATATATTTAATTAATTGTACATATATTTAAATAATAGTTTTCCCCATGGTTTTGGATAAAAAGTAATTAAATGATTATTTATTATTATTATTATTTTATTGTAATGTATTAATTTATACGAATTATCATATAATTGTAATTTTTTGTTTTTTTTTTTTAATTTTATTAGAAACGGACCGTCCGGTTCTTTAAAAAAAGGTGGAAAAAACAAAGGACAGGGAATGAAGACTGGTAAAAATTTTGTTAGAGGAAATAAAGGTCCTAGACCGTTAATGTCCGTACGACCGGGACCAGGTCCCCGTGGACCGCCAGGTTTTATGGTGAGTATTTCAAATTCATTAAGGTATACAGTTATTTGAAATTAAAGTAATATAAAACTGATTATTCCATATTATTTAAATTATGTTGAGGTTATGTTTTACATATATCCTTTTTATTAATTTATCATTATCATTAAATAAATTTTTTGTATATTAATATTTACTGATAAAAAGTTATGACTTGAAGTTTTACTTCCACACATTTTATACCATGTAAATGGTTTATATTTTCTGTAAGGTATATTACCAAATCGAAAAGCAAGTTAATTAATATGATCTCTGTTTTTAAGTACTGATTATTGTATTATTCGAGTGAATTATTTCTCATAAGTAAACTTATCAATTAACAATTTTTTAGAGACCTGGACCTTACGGCCCGCCGCCTCCCGGTCCCCCTGGTCAATTTTTTCCTCCTCATCCAATGCTTTGCCCACCAGGACCTCCAGGAATGTTCCCTCCTCATGGACCAGGGCCACAAATGTGGGGAGGGCCAATGGGATCGATGGGTCCTCCATTTCGAAACCCGATGGGACTTTTAGGACCTATGGGGCCAATGGGTCCGATGAGAAGAGGACCTATGCCACTTATGCCACCTCAAGGAATGAGACCACCTTCAGGACCACCTGGACCTAGAAGAGGTGGTCCTGGCCCAGTTAGAAAACCTATTGGAAAAAATTCATCAAAAACGCCTCCTAAAAATAAAACGGAACCCAAAATTGATTTTACGGAAGACACAATCGATATACAGTAAGTCGAAAACAAAACATATTAAATTTTAATTACTCATACCTTGAACATTATTTTTCTTACAAACAATAAATTATAAATTGAATCATGTGAAGTCTTTTAATTAAATAAATAATTTTACACATTTTTAATTATAATTCACATCATTTTGAACAGTCGCATACTTTTCGAAATTCATAATCGATTTATGTTTGCATATAAATTTAAAAGCAAAAAGTAAAAATAATGTTCAAGAACTTTTTTCATTTTCAGCTTATTTCTGCTTATTGGGGAGATAAATTTTTTTTAAAAAATATTTTATCAAAAAAAATAGTATCAAAAGACCAAAAAAAAAAAAAAATTTTTAATTCCTAGAATAAATTTTTCTTTTTCAAATCGAAATGATAATGGTGTTGCCAGATATTTTGTTTCTGTTTTTTCTTTTTGTCTCTTCATCACCATCATCATCGACATCATTCACCTCATTTTTACAATCATTATCATTATTTTTTTTTTCATTACCATATTTAAAAAAAAACAGAAACAAAAGTTTTTGCAACACTCTCATCATGCACAAAATTTAAAAAAAAAAAAAGAATCGAGTTAATAACAAGAAAATTCTTTTTCTTTTAGATCTAACAAACTTGGAACTGCATTCTAGGAAAGATGATGATATGTAGGCCTTCTTTAAAAGGAATTATATAATTTATATATATATATATTTAAACAAAAAATAAGAGAAAGAATGATTGGATAGAAATTTTGAATTTAAACAAACAATAATGATAACGATAACAATAATAATAATAATAATAATAAGAATAATTTTTTTTAAAAAATCCAATCATCTTAAAATAATTTTTTATTCCCCTTTGTAATAAGCCAAAAAATTAAAATAAGATTATAAGTATGAAAGAAAAAGGAAAAAAGGAAAAATAAATTTAATTTGATATGTAATCTTCCAAATAAGTAGATATAAAAAATGTTTTTTTTTTTT